GGGAGTGGTTGTTTGGATGGAAAGACTAGATGTGCATCTTCTTGATTAGCTCAACTTTCATGTGTAACTGGCTGGACAGTGTCTGCGAAGCAACCAACATGAACCTGACACAACTCCAGGAGGCAGTAGAAGACAGGAGGGCCGGACGTGCTGTGGTCCATGGGGTCACGAAGAGTCGGACACGACTAAACGACTAAACACACACACACATTCCAAATGTGGGGGCAGGCTCTTAGAAACATAGCAGCATGAATAAGATTGAGCGTCTGCCAATAATCTGAAATTCTTCTGATACTGATAAAGTGGGAGTGGTTATTTGGATGGAAAGACTAGATGTGCATCTTCTTGATTAGCTCAACTTTCATGTGTAACCTTCATCACCATTCTTCACTTTTCCATGGTCTTACAAGCATCCCAGGGAGATTGGTGCCTAATCAATTTGTTCTAGCTGAAATTGACATGTCTGGCTCTCTGTATGTTCTCATAGCCTTGGGGAAAGTTTTTTGGTTGTTGTTGAGGCATGTGTAAATTTCTATAGCGCTGAATATGATTCTTCTGTGACCATCACTTATTTTATGTGAGTGTAGTGCAAAAATATTTTTCTTCCACTCACCTGTCACTTGTAGACATTGTAAACATATGGACATTTCCACATCATGCTGGGGAGACTCTTAAGCACAAGACAAATGGAAGCAGCTGGCCCCTCTGAAGTCTGATAAATGTGTTTCATTAACTCATATGAGGCTGTAAAATGTAGAGGGTCACTGGCATTTATAAGGATCCAACTCCTTTTTTCCCACCCCATTCCATCTCCAGTGTTCTGTGTCAATAGAGGGGCTCTAAATGGGACTTTTAGCCAAGCTTGGAAGTGATGCTGTTTTGGATTACATGTCCCACAGTCCTCCAGGATTGGAGTTGTAGTACAAAAAAAGGAATATTTCCAAGGTCTGGCTTCTACTTTTATTATTTGCAGTATCTTAAAGAGCTCTTATTGATACACCTTTCAGATGAGTTAAGGGATCATATTGAAGCTTTCATTTGTGAGTTATGCAGGTTTAAATACAGGACAAGAAAAATTCATTTGGCTTCTTAATAAGATCCCTCTGTTTTGTAGGATTTTAGTAATTAGTTTATTTCCATATTGTTTTATGCTTGTGTAAGTTTTGTGGTATAATTCCCAGTAATGAATTACTGTTGATTAATGATAGGCATGCTATAAAGCCGAGGTCCCCAACCCCCCAGTGCCGGTTCATGGCCTGAACCGGACTGGGCTGCGGAGGCTTGTGTGAGTTTTGTGGTATAATTCCCAGTGATGAATTACTGTTGCTTAATGATAGGCATGCTATAAAGCAGAGGTCCCCAATCCCCAGTGCCGGTCCATGGCCTGAACCGGACTGGGCTGCGGAGACAGAACTCCTGCCCCACCCCTGCACGCACTCACCCCTGCACAGCTGATTTGCACATGCACGCGCACTCCAGTGCACCCGTATGAGCGCTGCGCTGTGTGTGAGTACACCTGCACGAGTGTGATGCCCGTTTGCGCATGTGCATGAGAGTGTGTGCCCCCTCATAAGCGGCATACTGCCATTTGCACATGCGTGCAAGCGCAGGGGTGCCCTCCCTCCCCAGCCGGTCCGCAGGGTGAAAAAGGTTGGGGACCTCTGCTATAAAGAATACAAATAGGTACTTGTTAACCAGCAACAATTCACCACTTCAGTAACACAGAGAAAGCAAAATGAGCGGACAAACCAATATAGCTCAGTGGTCTGGTGAGCTAGAGGTTGGGAGTTCAGTTCCTCACTATGCCCCCTTAAGAGGAGCTGGGCTCGATCCAACTCTCCAGCTCTGCTGTTCTAAGTTTATTATTATTATTATTATCTAAATCTCTACTGGGATTCAAGAAGGCTCCCTCTTTTCTTGTCCCAGAGAGACAAACAGCAGCAAAGTGGAGAATGACAAGTGGTAGTAAAAGGTCTTTTCCCTTGTCTTCCAGGAGTTCTTTTTCCATGTAAAGGTTATGGACTTCCACAACTCTTTCTTTGTTTCATCCAGTGCATCTGTGCTTTCTTCCATGGAGATGTTTCCAAGTCAGGTGTAACATTTTCTGACAGCAGCATTGCCATCAGAGAGTGTATAGAGATCCAAGATTAGAGTAGAATGCTAAGAACAAGCCATCTAATGAGCTGTAACAAATGCACTTTAATTTAGTTTTCTCACTGCTAGAAGTAATGTATCTTAAATATTCTTGGGAAGACTAATGTGCATGTTTCCCCCCAAGAGTTTTGAGGTGTGGGTTGTGCATTAAAGTGTTCCATGCTATCTTGTCATGTTGCTACACTTATTCATTAAAACATGTACCATATCTTAAGCTGCAGTGTTCTTTTATAGAAAAGTAAGACAGTAGGGTGATTTGATTTAAGCCTGGGTTCTTTATGGGCTTGCATGCTCTCTGGCTTTCTTTGGCACAGTCATAAGGAGCAGGCAGAAAGGTTTCACTTGCATTTTAGATTAACCACGATAGTGATGGGACTTTCATCTCTTTTGGACTGCAGCTGCCAAAATTTCCCAGGAATTCCACTGAGCAGAAGGCTGAGAGATACAGCATCACAACAGTAGTTTAAATAGGAGCTTTCCTCATCTCCATGGGATGAGTAGTTTTACTGCATATTAGCTCTGTAGAGGGAGCCTCTCAAAGAACTACCTGACCCATGATCTCTTGAGCCAAATTCAAAAGGCAATATATATATATATATATATAAATATATATATATCCCATGCCTAAATCACAGCTTCCTGTAATCCCCAAATCTGAATGAATTTCTGTTAATCTTAATATCAGCTACATTTAGTTGAAAATCCAGCAATAGTTTATGAAGCTGGTTCATTTCAACATTAGTCTTTAAAATTAAGTCTAGTTTAAAGATTAACCACAGTTTAGAGTTTGGAGAATGTGGTAACCTGCAGTTAATTTTTTTTAAAAAAGGAATCAGTCCAGTGAGTTACTTACTGGGATCAGAGACTGATTTTCAAGAACTAAACACAACTTAAAATATATTGTTCTCAGTAAAGTGCTTGTTCTCCTTGTAATTTTGCCAGCGGAGAAGATGAGAGCATGAAGCCCAGGAGGGAGGAAATTAGGCTCATTCTAACCACCATATTATGATTTAGCCTGGGGTGGACAAATCCAGGATTGTAACACTTATCAGCTATGACAAGGATAGCCAGCAATGGCTGGTATTTGCTGTTCAACAACATCTGGAGGGCCATTCTTTGTCCTTTTCTTGTTTAGAATTGCATCTAAAACAAGTATAGCCAAAATAAAAGAGTCATGGCATGTTGAAGACAAATGGATCTATTTCAATGCAATCTTTCATGGAAAGACTGCATAACAAAATAAATCCATTAGTCTTTAAGATGCCACAACTCTTGTTTTTATTCTTATCCAACAGACTAACACAGCTGCCTTATTGACATCTGAATGTAAGTGTGCATCTCAGTACTAAGTCCCCATGTTTAATGTTTTGGCAGGGAGAAATGCATGGAATGGGCAAGGTGAGGTCCTCATGTGCTTCCAGTTTTGACTTTTATTATACAGCCTCCTTGGATCATTCACACAATTTTGCATGGGATCCAGATAGCAGTGTCTTCCCTTTGTAATCCTTCCATGCTTGTCCATCACAGTTTTTGTCTTTTTCCATGCCGTTTATGATCCTCTAAGGCAGTGGTCCCCAACCTTTTCTGAACCGCAGACTGGTTGGGGGGGGTCCATGTCCAGGGGTGGGTGGGATGTGCTTGTGAATGGGTGGGGTACCCGTGTGTGCGGGTGAGCAGGCCGTGCATGCACAGGGGGGATCTGTCTCCGGGGGCCGGTCCTGTGAAGGCCACTCTAAGGAAAGAAAGAGGGACTAGTAGCACTAGGAGCCACCTGTAGTATTTTTCTTAGATTTATTTCCCTTGATAGAGCTACATGCACTTTTTTTGTTGAAAATTAAAGCATTCACTTATCTTAATAAATGGCTTTTTATTTGTAGAGCAGAAGTAAGATCATTATACTTGGATATGGCTTCAGTGTCCCTTTCTGCAAACTGAACATAATTTTTAGAGAACAATATTGTTTTACTAAATTGAGTGGGATTAGGCGAGTAAATGTTTTCAATCTGAGCAATACCAATTTCTGCAAGGACTTAAATGAATTAGAAAGTTACAATGTTTTCTTTTTCAAGAACTGCTGGATCAGTGGTTTAGGTCTTTGGGTGTGGAGCCAGAAGTTGGGAGTAGAGATGGGTATGAATTAATTTGGCCCAGGGTGATGAAATTCATTGGCATAGCACCATAGGTGCCTCACATTCCCCCCTCCCCAGCTGGCTTCCTCTACTCAGATGCCTCTGTGCATCGCCCAGGTCCTCCTCCTTCACTGGCTGCCCAGTGCAGGAAGAAGCTCAGGCTTCCCTTCCCAGTAGCCAACCACTCAATGGCTGTGCAGGGAGGATCTCTGTTCCTCCTCCTCGTCTGACTGGTCAGCTGCTGGAGGAGGTGGGGAAAGAATGCCCAAGCTCCTTCCGGGATGGGGCAGCCAATGAAGGAGAATGACTCAGGTGGCACGTTGAGGCTTGCGAGGAGGCAGCTGGCTTTGGGGTAGGGGTAGGAAACATGCAGCACTTCTGGTGGCACGCTGGTGAATTTCATCACCTGGAGCTGAATTAATTTGTGTCCATCTCTAGTTGGGAATTTAATTCCCCATTGTGCCTCATTGATAGAGGTTGGGATCGATGATCCATAGAGTCTGTTTTAGCTCTGCATTTCTACGATGATGATAACAATGGTGGTGGTGGTGAAGTGCATATATTTCAGGTATTTCTTGAATAATAACTTCTTTTTTAGAAATCTTGAGTGAGAATTGCAACATCAGACACTATTTGGCGATTAAATACAACTGTAATATAATTTTCTTTAGCAAATTGGCTGTATCTAAACTTCTTTCTTTCCCCTTTCTTTCTTAGGATTGACATTTGCACAGCGTCAAGTAACTGTTCAAGAGGGCCCTCTATATCGTACTGAAAACTCCCACATCACCATCTGGTGCAAAGTCAGTGGTTATCAAGGCCCAGCGGAACAGAACTTTCAATGGTCTATATATCTTCCATCTGCCCCAGAAAGAGAGGTACAAATTGTCAGCACCATGGACCCATCCTTTCCTTATGCTATCTACACTCAGCGGGTCAGAAGTGGAGAAATCTACGTAGAAAGGGTCGAAGGAGATTCTGCTCTGCTGCACATTACAGAGCTCCAAGACAGAGATGCTGGCGAGTATGAATGTCACACACCCACCACAGATGAAAGATACTTTGGGAGCTACAGTGCCAAGATGAAGCTAGTGGGTAAGTTTGTCTTGTTTTCCAATCTTTGTTATCCTGTTTTCGGGATTCCTCTTGTTTGAGCATAATAGTTAAAAAAAGTGAAATGACTGTAAACTGTGATGAAGTGAAGAATTGTTATGAAACATTAAATTCACACAGAAAAAAGAGCCTATGATACGAAGCAGAGCTGCACATAATACTGTGGTGGACAAAGGTAAGCCAACTTAATTTAATCCAGGTAGGATAGTTGGAGGAGTAAAATTAAGTGTCCTTGGTAAGATTATGCATCAGATGAAAAGTTGTGGGATTCTCTAAACTATCTGGAGAATCCTGAGTAATAACAATTGCAAGGAATGATTAATATCAGTTTAGGTTTATATGAAAGCTACAGCCCTATTTGGAGTGGTCATAGCTGGCCTTGGCTAACTGTGATGTAGTTACCTCCAAATTGGTATGTTGTGATGTGCTTTTGCTTGAGGATGTCATAGATGATCATTCAGAAAAATAATCAGGTACAAAAATTTCAACACTGAACATGCTAATAGGGGACCTAAAGTCTGAACATGTAATGTAATTTTTGCACCAGTTCCATTGATTACTAGGACATTTCCAGGACCAATTCAGAGTATTAGTATTAACCCTAGAATCCCTGAATAGCTTGAAATGAGGTTACATGATGGACCATCTTTTGTTTATTCCTGACAGCATGTTCAAAAGATGAAACTTTCTTCATGGTGATTCGATATTCCCTTCTCGTTGATTTATGTGTGCCGCATGTCATTCATGCCTATAGAAGACTATGACTTGATCCTTTACTAAAGAATGTGAATGGTTCATGTGATTCTTAGTATACCCCTCCATAACAGCACCTTTTTGAGATGCATAATTGTAACATCTAATCTTCCGCGTCATATGTTGCATTGTGAGGATTTGATTATAAAAGCCTGTTTATAAATATTTTGCATGAAGTGATAAATACATTTCAAGCCAAACTTCTCCCACTGCACTTTGACAACAGTGCAGGTTAGTCGTCATGAAATACTCTGATGGGCTCCTTTAAGAATTCTTCTGCAGCTTTTCTGTTTGCTTTGCAACATTCATAATGTTTCCTTTAATGCTGACTAAATATTTGGGACAGCCATCCTAGGAATTCTATTGCATGGATGACTCCAATCATATATTGCAGTTTTAAAACAGCTTCATTAGCTGCTTATTAGCTTCTGGGTCCTAATCAAAATGCGAGTTTTGAAGCCCTGAATAACTTGAGGGCCAGGTTCGTTAAGAAGTCTCTTCTACCATATCAATCTTTTTGTGCCAGAGAGATAACGGACAAAACAGAAGTGGGTAGCATTGAGGGAAGGAACTGTGTCACTTTCAACACCCAAGTTGTGGAATGCCCTTCCCATTAGTTTTCTGCATGGCTTTTGTTTCTGCAGTGTTTTTAACTTGTTAAATTGTCTATCTACTGGTTTATTGAGATACATTACCAGTTTTATGCATTCTGAGTTTGTTGGTAGCCACGGTATAATGTTAGATTAAAGGGCCTTATTGAACAATTTTAAGTAATTATGTAAGTTTATTATTTTTTTTTTATGGTGGTGGCTCTCTCTCTCTCTCTCTCTCTCTCTGGAAGTCACAGCAAGCAGTCAGGTTGTTACCTTCTGTTAATGCTTTGTAGCTTTTTGCTGGTCATACCTATAATTTGTTTCTGAAGCTAAAACTGCTTTTGGTATCTGTGAGATCTGTTGAATATTTTCAGGTAAACTTAGGTGTGGGAGCAAATAGCAGCTACAGATGGGTTTCCCAAGGAGTGCAGCTCTTGCTCTTAATGGAAAATAACAAATCCCCAGAAACCGAAGGTAGTAAAGAGAATATGGATAATGCAGATGATAGTGGTAAAGTGGCTGTTTACAACCCCATCTGCGCAAAGTGACTCTTTGGGCAAAGTGCTATTTCAAAATCTTGAATAATTCAGTTTAAATCCAAATTGGTTTTAATTAAATCTTGGGAATTAGAAAGAAATAGTGCAAAGTGTATGAGCAGAAGGAGAAGGAAACCTCTGAGATTTCTGTAGGAGGGAGGTGTTGAATAATAGAATTTTTCTGGTGGTGGCTTGAGAGGGAAGCCTTGGACTAAACTTTTATTTTATTGCATTTAGCCTCAGAGCTGAATATAGATTACAGAACATACGTATTTTTTAAAAAAAAATAGGAACAACATTAAAATAATGATGGAGTTATAATGCAAATGCAATGTCATTAACTGAAATTATAGGACCTGCATTTAAATAGAATTAAATTTAAAACAAAATTGAACATCTCAGATCTGTAGTTAGAACACTAGTAAAAATCAGCTTTGTATCATTTGATTTTAATAAACTTGTTAAAAACTGAGAGGGGTGGTGCCTGATGGACCTCTGTGGAAAGCTAATTTGTAGAGAAAGCACAGTTTCTGGTGTTAGTTCTTTTGGGCTCCTTGGTTCTCACAGCTTTTAGCATCAGGAACTGTGAGAAGTGGCTGGGATAGTATTTTGTTGAAGAGACATTCTGACATGTATCATGAGCTAAACTGTTAAGGGCTTTATAGGTCATGACCAGCACCTTGAATCGGGGATGGAAACTAATAGGGGACCAGCGAAGGCATGTCAAGTTTGGAAATATATGTTCATATCTGCTGGTACCTGATCAGTCTGGCAGCCATGTTTTGGTCCTGCTGAAGTCTCCATACAGACTTCAAGGGCAGGCCTATAGAGAGAGTGTTACAATAGTCTATTTTAGAGATTTCCAATGTTAAGCAGTTCTTATCCAGGTGGTGCAATTGAGCAATCAGCCCAAGTTGATAAAAGGCACTCTTGTCTGCAGCAGATATATGCACCTACATAGAGAGAGCTGGGTCCAAGTGTACCCCCAAGCTGTGGACCTGATCCTTCAGGCGGAGTGTAACACCCACTGAGGCCAAGTAAATATCCGTCTAACCAGTCTGACAATCTTCTGAACAGGAGGATCTCCATATTATCTGGAATCAGTTTTAATTTACTGGCTCTTGTCTAGTCCATTATTAGTGTTAGGCAGTGCTCACATTTTGGTCCTGCTGAAGTCTCCCTACAGACTGGAATCAGTGTTAATTTACTCGCTCTTGTTTAGTCCATTATTAGTGTTAGGCAGTGCTCAAGAAACAGTACAATATGACCTACAAATGAAGAAAATGAAAGATAGAGCTGTGTTTTGATGACAAGAAAATCTAAATCTCTGTTATGACTTCTTCCAACAATTTCAAATAGATATTAAAAAGCATCGTGAAAATAGACGGTCCCTGAGGGTGCGCATTGTGGAGGTCCCAAGGGGCAGGCACTGCCTCCCCAGGCTGTATCATCTGAGTTTGGCCCTTGAGAGAGGATGGGAACCACCAAAGAACAGAGCCCCCAAATCCTAAACTCGATAGCTCTCTCAGAAGGCCCAGCAGGGTTACATTCCCCATCTGCATTTCTTGGGAAATCTTGCAGGGTGATCATTGCCATTTCAGTTCAGTCATGCAGCTGAATCCCAGTTGAAATGAATCTTAGGCTATCCATGTCCTCTAAGGCCTGCAGCTACCGGGACACCACCCTCTCAATCTATTTGCCCAAGAATGGTGTGTTGGCAACAAGCCTATAGTTATTAGAATCAAACGTTGTTAGATTTGATTTCTTTAGAATGGGCCTTATAATGGTTTCTTTTAAATGGGAGAGTAAATGACCTTCCGCTGGAGATGCATTAATTATATGTGTGGCCCATTCAACAGTCATTTCCTTTCCTGTTTTTAAGAGCCACAGTGGGCAGGAATCTAGAGAAGAGGTGGTGGCTTTGCAGCATGCAAGTGGCTTGTATATATTCTCAGGCTGTACTGGTTGAAACTGATCCAGTTTGACCTGACTAAATGGTGCATTCGACCTTTCATAGCAATTAAACAGAGTTGCAATGGAAAAAGGGGATTTAACATTTAAGGGTGAAAACTAGTATTTACCCTTCAAAAGCTTGGAATATTGGGTCTGATGGAACTTGAACATACGTACTCAGAATCTCATCTGACATTCTTAAGTTGGGGAGTAAATTGGAAAATACCTCTCGGTTTGTAATATCAAGCAGTATGAACTAGACTAATCTATATTCTGAACAAACTTCTGTTCCGAATTGGGTTATCATGCACTTTGACAACATTGCTAATTGTCTTTTTGCAGTGTGGTTTGGGCTACTCCTGTGCATAATGCCCAATCAGGAAGGGCTTCTGAACTATATGTGAGTTACTGTTTTTCAGTTTCTCAAAAGTGGAAACAAACTTTCCCCTTTCATCAAGTTATAAATTTTTTATTCCTTCATTAGGTTCAGCAGCTTTTATTGGGCAGCAGATGGGCCCAAGAGGCTGTGTGGGAGATGGGTTTTTTTTCTTCAGTTTTTCTGAAGGCTATGAAGTGTGTGAGGATTTTAAACTGCATTGTATTTCATTGTAATACTTAGTGGCCTGGTAGTTTGAGGTAGCCATTTAGTTCATCATTTTGTTTTTGTCAGAATTTCAGAAAAATATGATTTTGGTTTCTAATTCTATCATTAAAGTTCCAGGAAGGCAAAAGTAAAGGCTGGTCTGCTGGTGATGAGAAAGCTGTTTGAAACATCAGACTGCTTTCAGAGGATCCTAATGAAATTGAAAATATAATGGACTGATCAGTGCTCATAGGTGGAAGTTACTTTAGTAAGAGGTGATAATCTGGATAAGAAAGGTGGGAGTAAATGGTTGCAGAACAGTGGAAGCCAGCCTGGCAAACAAGAGGCATTCAGGCTTGATGACCATCATTAATCTAAGGTGTACATACTGTATGAGATTAGATATAAATCTTTCTCTCATACACCCATATTTTGTTTTCTTTTCTCTAAACTCAGTTTAAAGACCCAAGGAAGAAAAGGTTATGCTTGAAATGGCCTTAAAGGCACCTTCAAGGGCTGAGAAACTGTAGTGGAAGAACTAATTGTAGTTTCTTTTGACTGAAG